AAACTTGCTTTAAGGCTCAATTGATCAAAAGAAGTAAATAACTAAATTAAAACAATTAGTAATAAGTACTTCCACTAGAATATGAATCTCACAAGTTCCTTTTTTTTATTTATTTGAAGTACAATGGACTAATGAGTTCATTACAGAGTTATAATATGATAGTTATCTTGGTCGGATTTCCTGTTACTAATAATTAACGAACAACTAACACAAAGATCATGCAATTAGTGAACAGATAATTAATTAAATATATTTGAACTATGAACAATATGATCTAGCAATTCTTATAAATTATCATGGCAATAAAGAAACGCATAATATGGATATCATGGCAATCGATCTCTAGTCCTAACAGTTTATTGGTCATAAACTAATTAAGATTCAAGTTAATCTAATTGCATTGCTCCTATTAACTACACATAACTCATCAAGAGGCAATAAAAACCATAACTTTAATATGACAGATAAACAATCAATTGAACACAAGTATTAAACTAACTCAAAAAATCCTACTAACTAAATCAAAACATAATAACGACTATTCATTTATATCTAGTGAAAGTTCAGGTTTTTACACCATAATAAGTAAACTAAAGTAGGAAAATATTATAAAAATTACGAGACACGGTCATCAAGCAAAACAGAAGTGAAGTCTTTATGCAAATAGTGCTTGAATCTTCAAATCCTTGCTCCAATAGAATCTATAGCTTCTAAATCGACCCTAAAGGGTTTCCGGATGTCAAAAATGAAGTAAAAGTAGCAGCTCAAGGTTGCTAAAGGATGCACATAGATTAGGGTTGATAATCTCGCCTATTTATAGTTTTTACTACACCACGACATGGTAAAGGTCTCACAACGACATCGTGGTCGGTTTTCCTTATTGCCCGTGAACACGTAAACTTGCGTACAAAGAAAAACTAGAATTTTTCGTTTTGATAATGGGATATGGCACGTCTTTCACTGGTTTTCACGCTTTGTTTGTTATTCTTCTTTTTCAACTCCGTTCTCTTCCTTTTTATCCCAGCTCTGAATTTAACTGAAATTACCTGAATTCAAATCCTTGCTCCAATAGAATCTATAGCTTCTAAAACGACCCTAAAGGGTTTTCAGATGTCAAAAATGAAGTAAAAGTAACAGCTTAAGTTTGACAAATGCTACACATAGATTAGTGTTGAGAATCTTGTCTATTTATAGTTTTTGCGAGACCACGATGTTGTAAAGGTCTCACCACGACATGGTGGTCGGGTTTCCTTATTGCACGTGAACATGTAAACTTTCGTACGAAGAAAAACTGGAAATTTTTATTTTGCTAAACGGGTGTGGCGCATCTTTCGTTGATTTTAATTCTTTTGTAGTTTTTCGTCTTTTTCTTCTCCATTCTCTTCCTTTTTCATACAAGCTCCAAATTTAACTGAATTTAATCATTTCCAAGCATAATAAGTATCATATATCTTAAAGCACAACATTTTAATAAAATATATTAAGATAACGGCCTAAAAATATAGTTAAATAAATCCATATCAAAAGCACATAGTGCGATTTATCTCTGATTGATGAAGTGCTACCCGATGTTGTGGATCAAATGACTGTTTTTAGGCTTTAGAACAAACTCTACAGTAATTATCATAATAATTCTCCCATGAATCGGCTCCAAATGTCTGAAACTACTCATGTAAAAGATCATCCTGATACCTTGTAACTATATTATCTTGTATATACTATGTGTTAGAAGTTAAAATTGATGATTAATGAACGACCTCTTATTTTGTTGTGTTCTCTTTCAATTCTTATGCGAGTTTTGTTGGTCCCATGTTGTATGGTAGAAAAACTATAATTTGAAGGATTTCTTGTTGTCCATGGAATTGAAATGCAAGGTTTCTTGTAATGAAGAAGGTTTTGATTTAGGTTTATTGTTGGCAGTGGTATAACACAAAAAAGAGATGGTGGAAACAATAGGAAGTCACGTTCTACGTCTAAATCTTACTCTAAGACTAAATGTTATAGCTACAAGGAAAATGGGCTCTAAAAAATACTTTGTCCACAACATAATAAAGGGAACTTCAAGTTTGAATTAAGAAATAATAACAGTGTGGTTGTGGTCCAAGAGAGTCTAGATGAAGGTGACATAAGTGAAGTTTTGACTTTATGTAGGACTAATTCTACATTTGATTAATTTTAGATTCGAGCTCATCTTACCATATGACCTATAAGTGTCATTGGTTAGAATGTTTTAAATAATGGAATGACTAGATAAAGTTGAGTGATGATGGGATGTGTTATATCAAGGCCATTGACATGATGCTGATTAAAAAGGACGATGGTATGGTTAGAAAACTTGATTCTGGGTATATTCCTAATCTTTGAAAGAACATGGTTTCTCTTAGAACTTTGGGCAAGCATAACATATAGTGTCATCGTAAATAAGAAGGGGTAAAATTATGCAAAGGTGCTATTATGGTTATGAAGAAAAAGTTATAACATGAAATTTAATTTCTGGAAGGAATTACAATTAGAGGAACGATGACAGTATCCCAAACCTTTGGACATCATGATGAAAAGTTAGAGTTATGGCATCAAAGATTGGGGCACATGAGTGAGAAGCATATGGTTATCTACTAAACATGGGTTATTTGGTGGAGAAACAATTGGAAAAGTAAAATGTAAGCAACATAGGGTGAATTTCAATTATGATCAGCACATAATCAAGGAAATCCTCGAATATGTTTACATAGATTTACATAGTCCTTCTCTGGTGAAATCTCATGGTGGATTCTCGTACTTTGTTCCTTTCATTAATGGCTATTCATGGAAGGTCTGGATGTATTTTCTAAAGACAAAGGATGAAGTATTTGGAAAGATCAAGAAGTGGAAGAAGATGGTTAGAAAATGAACATCACAACAATTCAATACAATTAGAATGAAAAATAGTTTGGAGTTTTGCAATAAACCATTTGAAAACTTCTTTAAAAACAAAAGGTATAGTGAACCATCACATCGTATGGCACACACCACAAAATTTTGAGTGGTTGAATGGATGAACCAAACGCAAATGCAACATGCAACATGTATACATGTATTTGATGATTTATCGAATCAGTTCTGGAATAAGCAATCAATATTGTTTGTTATCTGGTAAATAGATCTCCACCAACTACAATTAACTTAAAGACTTATCAATAGGTTTGGTTCAAAAAACCCTATGACTATTATGGTTTACGTGTATTTGGTTTCCTTGCTTATTCTCATGTTAATGATGATAAAATGGAGTCGAGGCTTGTAAAGTGTATCTTGCTAGGTTATGCAAAAATTGGAGTAAAAGGCTATTGACTATGGTGTACAAAAGAAGAAGGAATCTAAAATTTATCATTAGTAGTGATGTAACCTTTGATGAATTTGTTATGAGTAACTAGAGAGGGGAAAGTAAAAGTCTTGTAGGGAAACAAGATCATGGTGCTAGACAGAAGGTGGAGTTTGTAACACAAAACCCAGACATATTTGTGATAAATGACAAATATGAAATCGATAAGGAAAACCTAGACAAACTGAATCTCAATATCAATATGTCACACCCCGACCGCCAAGGGAAACACCGGGGTTGCGACGTAAAACATTGGATCATAGTTAAAAACATATATCGAATAATACAAAGATTTATGATACATTACATTCTTACATAAATTCACTACGCGGAACTACATTGTTGTCACTCTAACAGACGATAACTAGTAGAACAAGTTCTGAAAATGTAAGTCAAAATGAAACAAAAGGCCTAACAGATTGACCAAACATTTAAACAAGAAAATACATTATTACATAACAAACATGATGTGTCTTCCAACTCCTAAGTTCCTAAGACACATATGTTTGAAAACAATACGTCATCAATAATGTTGTTGAGCTTTACAGGTTTTGACTTAAAATGTTTTTATAATCAAAAGTGTGTTTAGACTAATAAATTATAAAAGTAAAATCCAACATGTTTTATCCTTATACACCTATACAAGTATAAGAGATTTGTTTGTGATTCCGACTCCATGTGTTTTCATAATCAAAAGCGTGTTTAGACTAATGAATTATAAAATTGTAAAGTGCAACATGTTCTGCCCTTTTAAACACATACAAGTAAAATATATTTGTTTATTTTTCTGACTTATATTGTTTATATAATCAAAAATGTGTTTAGACTAATGAATTATAAAAGTGTAAAGTCCAATGTGTTCTACCCTTGTAAACCCACCACTACAAAAAGCACTAAAAGACCCAGTTAAATAGCTTAAAGAAGTCGGTTTTGCAATCGGGTTTGATGCTGGCGAGTCCTATGTGGAATTCGGAATATGACCCGGTTCTAAACCGAGTCTTTTTATTACAAATAGAGCTCAGTTTGTATTTACATAACCGGGTCATATAACATTTTTCGTGCCATATTCATACGAATATTAGAACCGGTTCTCTTCAAAATAACCAGGTCATATGAAAACAAAATATATACCGGTTCATACAAACAACTGGGTCATAATATACTTTTACCCTTTTATCCACATTAGGTTTAGAACTTGGTTTCTAAATAAGCAACCGGTTCCTTTTAACACTCTTATATTTTTTAATATCATATTATAAAAATAAGAGTACAATAGTTATAGACTATCAATTTATAACACATATTATACAAATAAATAATGTTTTTTATGTGGAAAGTTAAATAAATCGTAATAACCATTGATAAAAATATAATAAAACAAAGACAATTGTCTAGGTAGCAAAAAAAATCATGGATTTGGTAATTTCATACATCATACAACTTGCATGAAAACCTACAAAAAAAAAACACATTTGTCTTGACTTGGCATAGGGATTGTTCAAAAAATCAATTGTAATGGCTCTTTCTTCTAACCTCCCTGAAAAACAAACAAATCAAAGTAAAAAGGTAAGAACTAGAACAAAAGATAATTAAACCAAAGTTAGGAAGTTTTAGAATTCAATAACTAACCATATATGCCTTTTTAGAGGACATCATTCATATAGTTATTCAAAAACTCTCTAGACCAGGTAGCAATAGTTGCAAGCAACACCTTTTCCTCAAAGGGACTTTTGTCATCCCAAATGCTACCGAACTATATTAAATGTAAAATTAAACATATTCATTAACAAACCAAATATTTTGTTGCAATAAACAAAATGAATAGATATTGAAAAGGTACTAACTTTACTAGGAAATCCATGTTGTCTTGTCGTCAAGAAATCAAACATCCATCGCATTACATAATGCCCGCTCTCTAAACCACCAAGTTGTTGGTTGCACTAAAAATTGTAGCAAAAAGTAAACATTAATCAAACAAATGAAACTACAACAATTATTTGTTTTGGTATATAACAAGATGAATTACCTTAGCAAAAATCCATCCAATTGGAGTTGGAGTGTCTTTTTCATACCTCATGAAAGCCCTTAAAAAAAATAAACAAGTGTTGTGTTCAAAATAATAAAAAGATTTATATTTTTCTATGATGTAAGCAATTTCTTACATGTCCACATGTTTTTTAGCAGGTAATGGTAGTCGACAGACTTTTCTATACGATCTTTAACAGAATCCAAAATATAGAGAATGCGATTGCGAAGGGAAATCACCAAGAGCACCCAATGCTTGGTAGAAATGTTAAAACATTTAGTATAAATAATAAGAAAACAAACAAAGTAATAATAATAATAATAAATATAAGAAATTATTGTACTTTTGCAAATATGGTGCAATGAGAAACAATTTTCCGTGGTGCAGACGAATGGAATCAACAAGATAACTAATGACACCCTCTGGGTTTTTCTGGCATGCCTCCCCTAGAATATTATAAGGGTTCAAGAAAGCACATTTGTTCATAGGTGTCCGAACCATTGAATGAAGAATCCTGCAAACAAGAAAACAAAAAATGTTATGGTTAACTAATAATAGTAAAATTTTTATGGACTTACAGTTGCCAAGCAGTTATGATGGAAGCATCAATTGTTTGTTTTCTCAGTAGTCGAAAATATTCTTCACATGTAACCGAAAAATCATATGTCCCGACTTCTAAAATCCCAGAATCGGCTACAATGTTAACCGCTTGGTTGGTCTTCAAGCAATCACGAAGATATTCAATCGGCCTCGCCTTGCTGGATGTTTGGTTTGGTATGTTCTTGTTTGTACCAGCCCTTGCAATTGTTGGCACCAAACATGTGGTTGGAATTTGTTTCTTCGCTCTTTGTTCCTACATTATAATTCATTTGAATATGACATACAATTATAATTTGTTGTTTATATAGTAGCTTAAAAAGTAAATATGACATACAATTATAATTTGTTGTTTATATAGTAGCTTAAAAAGTAAACGATATTGCATATGTACCTTTGCAAGAATAATTGCAATCTGAGGCCATTGAATTACAGTGCCAACCGCCCCTTGTAGGTTAGCAACTTCTTTTGTCATCACAGGAAGAGGAAAGTTTTCATATCTACTATCGATGTTGTCTATCATAACCTTCAGGTGATTTTCTCGTAAAGGCAATGTGTGTATTAACCCATTCCCACATGGAAAGACCAATCCCTTGTCACATTTTTGGTCCAACTCCCCATAGGGTAACACCAATTCACAAGGGCTAGACATTTGTACACATATAGTAAAACAAAAATAAAAATAAAAAATCTTTGAAGGATAATAAACAAAAAAAGTGCATAATAATGTAATAACTATATTTGAATTTTTAACCATTCTAAGTATATCTATTATAGTTCAAACCCTTCTAAGAAAACATTTTAATTAAAAAACTAGAGTCTTTTGTCTCAATTATGCAACCAAAATGATGATATTAAGGTATATTCGTATTTGTTGGTAGAAAAGTATATAAAGTCCATACCATTGCATATACCAATCTTGCAACGTGTATATATAAAAACATAGTTTTTCAAGATAAAAATGAAAAAAAAAAGTTAAAGGGCTTCAAATGGCAAGTAGAAAAAGTTATCTGTTGTAATAACATATATATTATAAGGACAGCAAACGAAAAATAGAAGGAAAAAAGGTTGCAAATGTCAAGTTAATTGGGTTGTAAGGGTAAAAAGTGAAAAAATGGGTTTATAAGTGGGTGACTTATGAATAGAACGTAAAAATATAAGGCAAATTTATTTAAGTTAATATCAAAATAATTCAAAGATTAAATTATACGGTAGCTACTTCTTGTACATAGTGTAGTTTAGCTAGAGTGTTCATATCTCACAAACAATGTTTACTTATTGTATATATTTATAATAATTTGTGCAATTATAAGAATATACGAAGAAATACATTACCACTTCTGATGATATGGTAATATTCCACAAATTGAAATAGGAATCATGTGGGCCATCAAAACATGACAATCATGAGACTTCATACCAAGAAGTTTTAGTTCACTCATTGACACTAAATTCTTAATGTTAGCAGAATAGCCGGATGGAACCTTCACACCATGCAAGCACTTGCAAAAATTTGTTTTCTCGGCCTTTGACATGGTATAACAAGCAACTGGAAGATACGTGCGCTTTCCAGTATTCTTAATAGGAGCAAGCTCGGGTCGAATCCCCATTTCAACCATGTCATCTCGAACATTAACCCCATCTTTTGTTTTCCCTTGATGTTTAACAATAAGGCTATCAAGCTTTCACAAACATTTTTTTCGATATGCATAATGTCAAGACAATGTTGAACCTGCAAGTGCTTTCAATATGGTAAATCCCAGAATATAGATCTTTTCTTCCAAATATCATTTTCAAGAGGAGTTGTACCTTTACCTTTACCATTACGTTTATGTTTTCGTTTCCCTTTACCTTTGGTTTCTCCAAATGTAATGTTTAGATTTTCAACATGGGAAAATACAATTTCTCCTCGTAACGGTGTCCTTGTTGTCGTGCTCTCGGTTTCACCATTAAACGCTTTTTTTTTCTTACGATACGGATGGTTATTTGGAAGATATCTTAGATGATCCATGTATACATTTTTCTTGCAATTTTTCAACCATACCAATTTGTGTCATCTTCACATACTAGACATGCCTTTGACCCCTTTGTACTGTATCCAGATAAATTCCCATATGTTGGGAAATCACTTATGGTGCAATAAATCATGCCCCGAAGTTGGAAATTTTCCCTACTATATGCATCATACACTTCAACACCTGGACTCCACAACTTTTTCATGTCCTCGATTAATGGAGATAAATAAACATCAATGTCATTTCCTGGTTGCTGTGGACATTGAATTAGCAGTGACATCATGATGTATCTTCTTTTCATACATAACCAAGGCAGAAGATTGTAGATGCAAAGAAGAATCGATCATGTACTATGGCGGCTGCTCAAGCTTCCAAATGGATTAATGCCGTCAAAACTAAGTCCAAACCTAATATTTCTAATATCCTGACCAAATTCTTAAAAATTAGAATTGATATTTCTCCATTGAGGAAAATCTGCAACATGCCTTATTTTGTTGTCTATTGTACGCTCCTCAGCATGCCATCGCATCAGCTTTGCATCTTTAGCGTTTGCAAATAACTATTTTAATCTTTGAATGATAGACAAATACCATAAGACTTTAGCAGGCGGTCCACTCATTCTCATATTATTGTTTTCTTCTATAGGATTTTTCCTTTTGTATCGTGATGTACCACATGTAATACAACTATGTAGATCTGCACAGTCGTTTCGATACAACATACAATCATTTGGGCAAGCATGTATTCTTTCAATTTCCATTCCCATCGGACACATCAATTTTTTTGCTTGGTATGTGGATATAGGTAGCTCGTTATCATTCGGAAGCATCTCATGCAAAATCTCTAGAAGACTTGTGAAGCTTGTTACACTCCAACTGTTGTTTGCTTTGAAGTTAATCAATTTCAACATAGCGGATAGTTTGGTAAATTTTGTACACCCAGTGTATAACGGTTTTTCTGATTCATCAAATAATTGTTGAAATTTTTCATAATCAACTTCAGCAACATTGTATTCACAATCATGTAACATTCCAGATAAGTTATCATAGTTGTTATCGTTTGTATCATCAATATCAGCATTATACTCTAAGGTAGCTGCATTATGATCAACAAATATCCCACCATGTCGTGACCAACACGTATAATCTCTCATAAACCCACAAATTATCAAATGCTCTTCTATTTTGGCAGAATCAGTGTACATACGACAATTCTGACAATCTACACAAGGACACCATATGTAGCTTTCTCCTTTATTCACCCGATTCTCCTCTGCAACTTTAAGAAAACCATTCAAACATGCCAAATATTCATCAGATGAACGTTTAATTCCATACATCCGGTAACTACGATCTATCTGTCATTACCTATAAAATATATATGAATAACATGCATGTAGGATAACATATGCATTTAAAGGCATATGTAATGTACCTAATACAAAGTTAATCATACAAAAATATTATCGAGCGCTTGAAAGTAATAAAAATACATTGTTTTTATTCGTGAGACAAGATGAATATATTTATTACGGTTCAATAAGTTTCAATATGCATTCATATGATTTAAATATAATGACGTATATTTAAAAAACCCAACATACTTAATTATAAAATATAATGAGTTATTATGTAAACCAATATATTTTTCTACACCTTTATAAAGTTTTATAACATTTTGTCATAAATTTTTAACATTTGCATCAGTTAAAAATATACCACATTTTACACATAAAAATATACCATTTTTCATGCATAAGAATATAAATAGTTTTCTATAATTAAACAAATAAATTAATATTCATTATTGATGATATTTTGTAATATATTTATTTTTATATATTTATAGACGTGCTTAACGGTTAATGTTTTGTTATTATTATTTTTTTAATTTAATTTTTTTTTAATATTTAAAACAACTTGATGTAATAATATAATATTTTAACATAACTCCTATTATCATTATAATTGTGATATATTAAATAACAATTAAAATAAATATGTTAATTAAGAAAGAAGTCGTAAAACATTATATAAGTCAATATAAATATTAATTTTAGTGTTGTTTATTATATATATTAAGGGATATATGGGATAACCTAAGTCTAATAGATGTTATGAAATTATAAACAATTATTTAATATTTAATAAAAATAAAAAGAAAAAAATATGACAAGTAACAAATGAATGATATGTAATGTCAAAATGTTAGGGCTTCTGACAAGTAACAAATGAATGATATGTAATGTCAAAATGTTAGGGCTTCATAAGGGTTGACTAACAGACTTTTATAGATATCACAAATCTCATAAAAACACATTCGATACACGAAGGCGGGACTTTTACCGGAAGACGAGACTTTTTCCGCCAAATATTTCATCGTATTTAATCCTTTATAAAGACCATTCTATACATGATATCGAAGAAAGTGAGAGACCGAGACGAAAGGCCGATAGCAGATGAAAGATTCATCATCTATGTTAATCTACTCTCCTAGTAGAGTCTTTATAAACTCGGTCCTAAGTGTGAATTTAAGGAATGTAGAAAGATCATGAATCTTACATTGATTTGAGGTAATAATACTTCAGTGAATGTCGTATTCAACTAAAATCTTGTTTATTGAAACCAAATTTAGGTTTTATGGTATCTAGTCAACACAATTTGAGATTTTCAGTCTTAACACTGTTTTGGAATTTCAATTCTACTTACATGTAAAGGGATTGTGTCGATGAACAAATACAAGTGTGTTGATGTGTCGTCTCTTCTTTTTACGTGTGTGTAAATGGAAGAATAAATAGCAACTAATTAGATAATCATACGAATCAGCAATAGTTATCTTTAGATTTGTTTTTTTATCAATATCTATAACTTTAAAATTCAAAGTTTAGTCATGATCGCTTTATCTTTTGAGTGTAGCTTATCTATTTTTTTGTAGATTACATAAATTTCAAAAGAGATAAGGATATGATTAAACAGAGAGCAAACATAGGTTTCATCTGTCAAAGAACCCATTTTTTTGTTTAGTATCCGACATAGAAACGCTCATAAAGATGTTGATTATTACTATGCTGCTGCTGCTTAAAGTTTTTGATTGCTGACTTTTCAAGTAACATTGGTGAATGTTTACTAAATAGTTATTGAGTTGCTAATTTTCCTTTGGACAGACGCCCATTCATGAGAGTTGGTTGCTTTTTCATGATAGTTAGTTGCTGTTCTGGTGCTACTAATTGGGTGGCTGTGAGATAACTTCATCCCTTTAGATTCTACTTGACCATTTTGCCCCTAGTGTTATTTTTTTGAGATTCAACTGTTTTCTTGGTGCCGCCCTGTTATTAGCTCTAGGTTCCATATGCACAATATGTACATCATGTGAGCATGTGCTTATAGTTTTCATAGTGTTGCTTGATTTAAAGATTTCATAAGCTCCTTTTCCTATTGTTGCTGATTTGGGAGTAAAGTAATTTGTCTCTATTCTATTCGTTTCTACAAACCTTTTTTTAATTGTTCCAACTTCTTGTTGCTCATGTTTTGTTATTTCTAATATATTGTGGTGGGGAATTATGGATGATTTTTCCCCTGCTTTCATTTAGCCATTCAGGTGGGGCATGGATTTAGCACTAAAATACTCAGTGTAGAAA